ATCTAGTTGCTTCCATGTCCTGGCTGTTGTAAATAGTGCTGCAGTGAACAGTGGGGTATGTGTGTTTTTGAACTGTGGTTTTCTCTAGGTGATGATGTAAGATCTGTATTGTGATTGCTGGGTCACATGGTAGTTTTTTCTCCCCCATAGATAATGGTGATCAGAGAATATTTTACATTGTTGTTAGTTTCTGCTATACAGCCCTGTGAATGAGTTGTAAGTATACATGTATCCTCTCCCGCCTCCCTCCCATGCGCACCTTTCCCCATCACCCCTCTGGGCCACTGCAGAACATGAGCTGAGCTGTCTGTACTGCAGCTGCTTCCTAGCTGTGTATTCTACACACGCCAGTATATATTAGCAATTCTGCTCTCTCAGTTCACCCCACCCTCCTCTGCGCCTGTGTCCACCTGTCGTTCTCTACTTCTGCTTATCTGTTTCTGCCCTGGAAGTCAGTTCATCTGTACCATTTTTCCAGATTCCATATTTTATGTCTTCCCTGGTGATTCAGTTCGTAAAGAGTCCGCCTTCAATGAAGGAGACCTGGATTCAGTCCCCGGGTCAGGAAGATCCCCTGAAGGAAATGACAACCCACTCCAGTACTCTCGCCTGGAGAACTCCACGGACAGAGGAGCCTGGTGGGCTGCAGTCCATGGGGTCACAGAGCCGGATACGATTGAGTGACTAGCACTTTTACTAGAAATAGCCTAGTTTTGTTCCTTTTTATGGCTGAGTTATGTTATTCATCCCATCCTCCCCTCTCCCTGCGTCCACATGCCTTTTCTGCACGTCTGCTCTTCTATTCCTGTCCTGCAAATTGCTTCATCTGTACCATTTTTCTAGATTTCATGTATGTTATTTTTCTGATCATTGCTGTGTGACACTATAGTCTATCCACACTTACTAAAATGACCCAAGTTCGTTCTTTTTTATGGTTCAGTGATATTCCATTGTATACATGTACCACATCTTCTTTATCCATAGGTTGTTTCTATCTCCTGGCTATTTATTGTAAATAGTGCTGCCATGAACATTTGAGTGGGTTTTTCTTGTTAATTACAGTTTTCTCAGGGTATATACCCAGAATTAGGATTGCTGGGTTACACATCTAATTGTTTTCAAGATTACTGATCTTCTGTTTTATAATTCATTTTTATTTGGAGTATAATTGCTTTACAGTGTTGTTAGCTCCTGTGTCCAACAAAGTGACTCCCCCATGTGTGTACATGTAGCCTCTCCCACCACCATTTCCCCTATCCCACGCCTCTAGGACATCAGAAAACACCAAACTCTGCTCCCCATGCTGTGTGGCTGCTTCCTGCTAGCTGTCTGTTCACACATGGCAGTTTGTATATGGCGGTGCTACTGTGCCAATCCGTTTTAGCCTCTGTTTCCCTGCATCCACCTGTTTGTGCTCTACATCTGCTGCTTTATCCTTTCCCTGCAAATAGGCTCATCTGTACTTTTCTATATAATATAGAATATAAAATATTAACGTTAATACATGATGTTTTTCTCTTCCTGTTTTCACTCTTATTAACAGACTCTGGGTTCATCCACATCACTACAAATGACCCAGTTTCATTCCTTTTTATGGCTGAGTAATATTCTATTGTATATATGTACTACATCTCATTCGTCTGTGGGTGGACATACAGGTTGCTTTCATCTCCTGGGTATTGTAAATAGTGCTTTATTAAATATGGGGTGCATATGAATAGCCTGAGCCCTGAAACAGGAAGAAGCATCTGTCTCCCCTGAGGGTGAAGGGAAGCTGGTGAGAACTGGATATTGAATTTAGGCTTGTCTACCTCAGAGGCACTTTGGTTGCCTGTCACAATGGTTTGGGCTTCAGGAGAGAGCTGCAGGATGTGGGTAGGATTTAAGGGGGGAGCTGTTATTAAGGGGTTTGGCATAGCTGTGAGGAATGAATAAGCATGTTCCCAAATAAGTCCAAGACTCCTCAGTAAGAACAGACTTCCCCCAACCTCTTCCCCTTTAACATGTGACCTGGCTTTTTACAGTACAAACACCTGAAATGTAAAAGTGAGCCTCACGTAAAGATCGAAGGGCAGGACACTGATGACTGGCTCTGTGTGGACTTCGGTAAGTTACTTTAGCACATTCTACAGGTAAATAATTGATAATGCACTAATCGCAAAAGGATCAAGGTCTGGATGTTTTTCTGCAAAAAGTTTTTGATAGTTGTTTGAAGTTTTCTTTGGTTTTTAACCCACTCACTCGGTCTTTTTCACATATGAAGTCCTCATCTCACCTAGTGTGTATTAAGTAGCCACACAGGTTAGAAAGCTGATGGAGAACAGGATGAATAACATCGGAGAGATCCCCAGTGGGGTAGAAGGCTCCTTGGTGTACATAGAACCTTGGCCTTAAGTAACTCCCGTAAGTTGAAGGGCGTCCTAGACACAGGGAATGATAAGAAAAGCAGACTGGAATTCTGAGAAGACCTAACAGATTTGAGAATTAATATATACATAGTTTCAAAGTAACTCCCCAGAATGTACTTAATACAAAGGTAAAAACAGTACCTGTAGAACTGTGCAGGCTCTGAAATCTTATCTTGTGAGCTGAAAGAGTTATTCAGGGGTTGATAGAACAGTTTGCTCCTCAGCAAGAGCAGCAGCAACATCAAGCAGCATTTTTGTACCAGGTTCCCCGAACAGCACAGCACCGGATGGCACCTGCACACGGAGTTGAGAGATGAACCCCGAGATTAGTGTGCCCATATCTTTTGTGTGGGCAGGAAGCAGGCCTGCAGTTACTCTGGGAGAAAACATCAGGGCTTCTCAGCCATGTCACTGTTAGCACTTTGGGTGGGGAGGATTACTCTGTGCATTGTAGGAGGTTTGGCAGCACCCTTTCTCCTCTCTGCACCTTGTAAAGGTGACAATTAAAAATGTCCTGACGGATGCTCACTATTAGAGGGATGCAGCTCAAAACTACAATGAGCTGTCACCTCACACAGGTCAGAATGGCCATCAAAAAGGCTACGAACAATAAATGCTGGAGAAGGTGTGGAGAAAAGGGAATGCTTTTGCTCTGTTGGTGGGAATGTAAGTTGATACAGCCACTATGGAATATGGTATGGAGATTCCTTAAAAAACTAGGAATAAAACCACCATATGACCCAGCAATCCCACTCCTAAGCATATACCCTAAGGAAGCCAAAATTAAAAAGACACATGTTTCCCATTGTTCATTGCAGCACCATTTATAATAGCTAGAACATGGAAGCAGCCTAGATGTCCATCAACAGATGAAAGGATAAAGAAATTGTGATACAAACACAGAGTGAAGTATTAGCCATAAAAAAGAACGCTTTAAAGTCAGTTCTAATGAGGTGGATGAACCTAGAACCTACTATACAGAGTGAAGTGAGCCGGAATGAGAAAGATAAATATCGTATTCTAATGCATATATATGGAATCTAGGAAAATGGTACTGAAGAATTTACTTACAGGGCAGCAGTGGAGAGACAGACATAAGAGAATGGACTTGTGGACATGGGGAGAGGGGAGGAGAGGGCGAGAGGTACGGAAAGAGTAACATGGAAACTTACATTACCACACGTAAAATAGATAGCCGTGGGAATTTGCTGCATGGCTCAGGAAACTCAAACGAGCTCTGTTTCAACCTAGAGGGGTGGGGTGGAGCGGGGGACGGTAGGGAAGTTCAAAAGGGAGGGGATATATGTATACCTATGGCTGAGTCATGTTGAAGTTTGAAGAATACAAAATTCTGTAAAGCAATTACCCTTCAATAAAAAAATAGATGAAATTAAATAAATAAATAAATAAATGTCCCTGATTGAGAGCCACTGTTGTAAGCAAACTTTCTCTTTGTTCCGGAAGGAGACAGTATTTCTCAGAATATTTGCCAGCATCCTTAAAAGTACAGTCCAGGATAAAACTCTGCCGTTTTGCTCACAGGCTGTGCAGAATTACAGTACTTTTGGATTGTCTACCAGCAGAAACCTGATAGACCCCACCTCTGGTTGTGTAGGTTATCCACAAGCAGTGTTACATACTGACGTTACATAGCATGTGTCTGATGCACTGAGAGAAGTGCAGCATCACTTCTGCAGTATTTTTGCTAGATGGTGTCCACAATTTACATTTCTAGTAAGTTCTCAGGTAATGCTGATCTGGGGTTCACACTTTGAGAACCACTGCTCTGTCACAGATTTGTGAGTTTCACAGAAGGATGAAAGTAAATGAACTGCTTCTTCACTTGTGATTTTTATCTGTCCTCGGTAGGCAACATGGTGATTCATTTGATGCTTCCAGAAACCAGAGAAACCTATGAATTAGAAAAATTATGGACCCTACGTTCTTACGATGACCAGTTAGCTCAGATAGCACCTGAGACCTTACCTGAAGACTTCATTCTTGGAATAGAAGATGACACTTCATCTCTGACTCCTGTGGAGTTTAAATATGAATAAAATGAACTGCTTTAGTCATTTCAAATTTGGATTGAGTCACTTCTTTTAACCTAGTTGGTTGTTATGAAAACAGGTATTCTCTTTGGGTTCTAATCCTGACACATGGAAATTGTAGGTAAGTGAGCTTATTTTCATACCATGGATCATTACATTCAAATTAAATATATTGTTGTTATTTTTGAGACTCCAGCAGATCGCCTAGAGGTTGCATTGGCCCCTGTGTTTCACTTGAACTGTCTGCTCAGAGTGTAATCTTACGTTTAAATCTTATTCTATAGAATAGTATAGCCAAAATTTTTTTTAAAAGCAGAAAACAAAACCCCACCCCACAGATCCTGTAACTTACCTTTTCATTCTCAGTTCATATGCAACAGTATTATTATCAAGGTTCACAGTAAAGCCAATAGTATAGATACTGGTGGCTACCTTGAGATTGTCATGGATTTTTAGCAATACGAAGTTTATATTTTGATGAAATTCAGGACATTCAGAGTAATCTGAAAAGCCAAAAATAAAACATACCACACACCAAGGCTGCACCTAATAATGAAGTACTTTATTCTGCATCAAGGTATCTGGAAAATGGAGCCGCATTTGGGGCACATTACAGATGAGGAATGATCCATATGTGGTGAGTACAAAACTCAATTACAGAATTACTTCCTAGTATTACCAGATACTCCATTACCAATACTTCATTGAAAGTAAAACATGATTTGTCACACTAGAAGGCTAGAAATGAAATATGACAGAATTTAAACAGGCAGATATAAATGTAGCACCTATCTGTATTAAAAAAAAAAAAAAAGCTTGAAAAATCAAATACTGAGGAAAAGCTCTGGCCTTAAGCCCATTTTACCCAAAATCCAACCAGAAAGCCAATCCATTACTTTTTTTAAGCAATTCATTGTATAGAAAAAAAAAAAAAGCTTGATGAATTCCATGACAAAAAGGGCACTTTTTGGCTAAAACTACAAAATAAACTGGTTTTCTGAAAACATTTAGAAAAACATTTCAAGTCATTTTCAAAATGTTTAATTGATAGATACAGTGATCTTCAGAAGAACTTACCTAGTCTGTGTAGAAATTCATCTTGAAATACAAATGAAGCAAAATGATACTTTAAGGGTTATATCTGCCCTTCAGATCAGTATTATATGATGACTGTGATTATTTAATGAACAAAAGCAACACAATTCTGAGAGCAGTGTGGCCTCGGAGACCACTCACACCCATCTAATTGTACATACCAGGCTTTGCCATCAAGTTAAGGAATGGGTGAATGCATTCAGTAGCAAAGGTCAAATGTATTATCACAGTCATTGAAATTATATTTCCAAAGTTCTTTTCTTTTTCTACCTTTTGACTTATTTTCAGATAACTGGTTGCAGAGAATACAGAAATCCTCCTACATTGTATGTAATATTTTAGGTGGCCTTTCATTTATCTTGATTTATCATTGCTTAAAATCTTCAAAACAGCTTACTTTGAGGCTCACGACAGTGCCTGGCACATGGAGATGTAGCCTTTTTATTGCCTTTAAACACTGTCACACCATCTGACTGCCCCACTGGTCTTCACAAAGCAAATCTTTTGGGGTCTGCTCCAAGCATAGACCAACTGGTCTGAAGTGTATTGGCAAACTAAGCATCCTGTAAGGCAAGCTAAAGCTTTCTTCTGCCAGTCAGTTAAGTTCACGGGGGCTGCATGTCTCCATAGATACACTTACTTTAGGTAGTGATAGTCAAAAGCACAAAGCATTTATGCATTCAATCACATAGCCAAACAGAAAAACTGAAGTCTCCTGAAGCCATTTAAAACTAGTCGTTCCAAAACCTCCTGCAACCACTTTGTTAGTACCATCAAAAACTTCCCTACCACAAACAAAAGGTATTTGCTGCTCTCCAAATATAGGCACTGCTCCGTATCACTGAACATTTATTGGATTTTCCAACTAATAACTGTCATAAGCCTCAAAAAACATGAAATTTTTCCAGCTTTACTGTCACCAGCCAGAAGTAAAATTTTTCAGTTATTTGCCTGTTAGCTAATTAAATTTATTTTTTAAAAAACAGTTGGACTTATCTTTATAAAGTATATAAAATTTTCAGAAAACAAAACAAAACAAAACAATTTTGCTTTCATTGCATTACTGAGTACCTGAGGTAGTTGAGTAAAAATGCACGTTTAATACCCCTGCCAACACCATTCAGCACTTCCCTTAGGTTATTTGTGTTAGTGTTAAACTGAGAACAGTCTTTCTATGCTAATAGGTTAACATTTAAGTACTTGTAATAATTCTGTTCTGATCCAATTTTAACAATTGGACTTAGGAGCAATCTAGTTTTATTTGATGAGTTTCATGAATGCACCATTTAAACCGATTTCTGGCATCACGGGGGAAATGAATATTTTAAAAAATTAGATATTTGTTATACTGAGAAATGCAACAAAAGGGAAGTGCAGAGTTCGTCTCTTTCCCTCCCTCCCCCCTCATTTTTTTCTTTTTTCTTTTTTTTTTTTTTAAAGCTGGGTGTCATACATTTCAGAGAGCATAAAGTATACATTCTCACAGAGACAGGAGTTCAAAAGTTGCCTGGTCCTCAGAAACAACTGGCTAGGTAAAAACTTGTGCATGTGATGCTGGGTAAGGGGTCAGCGCCCGGCTGTTGGTTAAGCAGTCTGTCTTTGGTTTGGCGTCTGCCTCTGTGGTGGGCTGTTTCCTGAGCCTTCACTTCCGCCTTGACTGAGATGGTCCACTTTGCAGAGCTTTCTGCTGTTGGTGCTGCTTTACCTGAGTCAGAATTTCCTGAATTTTTCTCTGGGCAACCTGCAAAAGGAGAGGGCCTTGAAATTTCTACCTGATCAAATATTATAGGAAGTTATTTTACCTCTCCCATTTTTTAAATTAACTTCAAATTAAAATTTATTTGAAGATTAGAGATACGTACTAATTAGTTTGCTAGCAGAGTCTCTAAAACCACCTGCTGAAAGGGGGATTTAACGTATTAAGCATCAAACACAGCCTTGAATATTTATATGATGTGGAGACCCCCAGGGGAGAATGGCTGCCCTGACACACTGGAGCCCACTTGCCTGGCAAGCATAGAAGTGCCCAGTTATTTTGACGACCACCTGGTCATTCTCATCAGGAGTCTGGTCACGGGGAACTACAACTTCTGCACTTGACAAATTCTGGAGCTCATTCACCTGAAGGAGGTAAACAGAAATCATGCTAAGTGGAACTGCTGGGGTTTTTTTATTTTTTAAAAAATTACCATTGCCTGAACACTTGTACCAAAATATTGAGCTATGTCTTTGTAAATCTCATCTAATATACTAATAATTCTATTTGGTTATTAGTATTGTCCCATTTCACGATAATTAAAACTAAGCCCCAAAGAAACTGACTTAACCTACAGTTACATAAATTAATGACAAAGCCAAATTCAAACCCTAAAAATCTGATTCCAAAAATAATTGCAGTCACTTCCAAGTCATTTTCAAAGCTGTTTACAATTTTGAAGTTATGTATGTTAAAGAGAAACTGGAAACCAGTTTTCAGTTATAGAGGTGTAAGTTATAAAGGTAGATGAAACTTCTTAAAGTTTTCTTTTCATGTCATTAAGTATTTTTGCACAATAGACATAAAAAGCTGATGTTTATCAACAGAAAAATGCAAAAGGCCCCTCATGAGACAGTCCTCTCCCACAAAGTGGTCTGAAAGAGAGGCACTGCTTTCACCAGGAGCTGACACCCAACACTCAGGAGGAACAAAGGGCAGTCTTCTCCAAACCTTGGCCCAGATGTCCTGCTTTTATAAGTTAGCCAAAATTCAGGGACTTGGAACTCCTAAGTACCTTTCAGTGCTTTCCCTTTCATACCACTGCACAGGTTTTGCTGAAGTACTTGCCGTTTTGCCTCCTTTTCCAATAACTCTGCCAGCAGCAAAGGACGGCACTCTGATGTGAGCTTCAAGTTTCACCTCTTCTTTAGGACTAACAAAATTTTCTTCTTTAATTTTTCCATAAATTCTTCCCTGAGCCTACAGATGAGAACATAGCCTATCAGTGTCATTCATGTAGGAAAGGCCAAAAGGTTCCTTAATTTTACAGTGGGTAAAATGAATGGCCTGGACCCACTGGAGCAGCCCTTTGCAGTGATAACATCTGCACCTGATGGTGGAACACTGCCCAAGAGATGGCAGGAAGCCCTAGAAAAGGTTGATAACAGTGGTGGCTACATCACAGATGAGGCAGTTGAATGAATGACCATTTGCTCTCCAGTCTTGAAAGGTGAAACTCTCCTGCTGGCAATAAGATAGTAACTGCATTTTTCTTGAGTAACAGAGACTGAATGACCTCCAGAGCCACCTACATGAGGCTCACAAGAAGCCAAGCTCATGTCTAAATGGGCCAGCAAGGAATATTTTCTGTCAAACATTTCATGAGCCAGATGGTTTCTATTTTGACTGAAGCTACAAAATCAAGTTAACATATACAACTGATATAGTCAAACATATCCTGTCAATTGCTGCATACAACCAGAAATTATACATAGTAAATCTCCTATTATGTATAACCACAAATTTGCTCTGGTATACACCAAAGGAAAAAGAAACCAGAGTTGGGTTCATCCAACAGGCTGCCACAGCAGAGAGCAAAAACACAGGTACAAAACATGTTTTCATCGGTGCAGAGGTAAGCTCATTCTAGGGGGTTACAGACATTTAAAAAACTCATCTTCGTACCTTGTATTTCAGTCATCCTCAAAGTCTCAGGCCACAGGTATAATTATTAACACAGCCGAAGGACACAAAGGATATATACTGTCCTCCAAAACAGTATTTCTTATGATTTTATTTTTTTCATTTATTTTTATTAGTTGGAGGCTAATTACTTTACAATATTGTAGTGGTTTTTGCCCTACACTGACATGAATCAGCCATGGATTTACTTTCTTACGATTTTAAAAGCTAGTTTCTAATATTTAGGTCTGTTTCTAATACTTAGATCTCTAAAATAATTTGTAATTATCACTGATCACATAACTGATATTGAAGCATTAGAGCTTTTCTTACATGTTCCATTTAAGACAAGTGCACAACATGGGCAATGGAGGGTATAGAGAAACAACTTCTGAATTTCCCAGCATACAAGCATTATAAAAATTACAAGATCCATTTATAAAACAGTAAGAAGATAACTGGTGTTTGTATTCATCTTTTAATATTTCAGGCTAAAAGTAGCTGGTCCTGAAGTATCTGGGGGAGGATGTAGTTTTCAGCATTTCTGAGTTTTGATCTGAACTGCTGGGACCACAGGCTGGTATGAAGAAGTAAATTTCTTGACCTGAGTCTGAGCCTAGCCAACTGTACCTACATCTCAAAGCACCTCCTTTTGTTTCCTGTACCCTGTAAATGAAAAAAGTTGCAGATTTTTAGTGAAAAATGGCCCATGGAAAAAGAGAGGTGAAAGTGATGGTTTGGAGCCAGGAGAACTAAGGCTTTAAGAGTTGTTCTGTTAACACAGCTGCTGAGTAGTAGCGGCAGGACAGGGGTTTCGGGTAAATTGCCCTGAATTGAACAGCTGCTCTTACCTGGGACAAGCCAGACACCCTAACTGAGTTCTGTGGAAGAAATCATATACTCAAAGGTATGTATGTGTTGTGAATCTGAGGATCTGGCATGGTCTTAGCCTGATTCATCCCACGTCTGCTTACCACCCCTGGCGCATTTATACTGTTTCCTGTGTGTCCAACACTATCTTAACCACTTGATTTATTAAACCATATAACCTTGTTTAAACTTTGTGGATGTTTTTAACCCCAATTTTACTGATGAGGAGCTAGCTAGGAAAAGGTTAAGTAACTTGCCCAAGGTCATATCACTAGTAAATGGCAGAGCTGGTACTTGAACCAGCAGCCTGGCTGCGAAGGCTCTGGTCTTCATTCCCCTACTGCACCACCTCTCAGGACAGAGTGGGAGGCATTCTGGCCCCAAGCCCCCGAAAATGACTGATGGTTCATACCAGGACAGATCCCTCAAGAGTCCCTGCCCTTTCTACCTCTAAAATTCTGAAGATTAGAGTGACTAATAGAGAAACTGTGGACCAGGGAGTTAACTGAAGTTAACTCAAGGGTAAGAGGAAAAAGGAACATTTGAAGTCAAGGTCGAAGATTCTTAGAGACAGGAGGGAAAATCTGAGAGTAACAAAGCATACAAACCATTCTTACCACCTCACCTTCACCTGTGCCAACAAGGCACTGAGCAAATTCTCCCTTGGGAGATAGGCAAACCCAATGACCATTACAGAACTCTCACACAAAGGTTTTGGTTTATTTTAAAAATGTAATGTGGGGAATGTTTCTACTCTGTTCTTAGTCTTAGCAATTTTCACTGAGAGATTCCTTCTACTGAGTACTGGATTTATTTAAGGGAGAAGCCAGGTTATAGAGTTTCTGAAAAGAAGGCATTCATCTGTCATCTGTGCACACACTCCAGGGCACATACCTTGAACTGAGCCTCCGGTGGCCCGGTGATAATCACCATCCTCACTTTAGCATCTGGTGCTTCTGCTGGAGCGATCTGTAACAGACCAGAAATGGTCACAACACTTTCCAGTTCCACTGATAGAAAATGTTACACAAACCAGCCTGTCTTTTGCACATGACTTACTGAAATGTAGAAAATAAGCCTTCTGGAAGAAAGTTAGAGAGAGGCAGTGATGAGTGTGGGTCCATTAGTTATGGCTCCTGCCACATCCTGTATGTTTACACTACACCTGGCCCACTTCACCAACAGGGAGACCAAAGGCTAGAAAGTCACCTGGCCCCTGACCACACAGGCTGGTGGAGCTGTGTCTGGCTCCACCACTGTGTTGCTCCTCACTGCACCACTGGGCGCTCAACGTGTGGTCTTGGTCCCACACGCAGCATCACACCCTGGGCTTCCCGCATGTGCAAGAAACTGCTTGGGTCACAAATCTGCAACGTCGTGTGTATACATATGTATAGATACATGGTACTGATGTCCCCCCAAAGTACACTCCCTGGAGTAACACATAGAGTAAACATTAATCTGACAGAAGAGTGAACTCGGACTTCTATTTTGGCAGAGCGTATGAAATCACATAAAAGGCCAGGCCAGGGATACGCTGCAGACTGTTGAAGGGGAAAAAAAGCCAGCATTCCCTCAGTAAGAAAGGATTTAAGCAGTTTGGCTGGTAGGAATTGTTTGAAGAAAAATATTTTGCTAGACATTTGCTATGCAAGAAGCAACTCCCTATAGTAAATAATGGGAGTAGGAAGCAAAAACCACAATAAAAGCCACCGCACTTACCATTCAGTATGATCACTATCAATTACTTACAGTCTAGTACACCCTGTCCTACACAGGTACAAATCAAGACCAAGTTTTTTCTTTTAACACAGTCATGCTTTCTCACTCCCTGAAAATAAAGCTAACATTTCTGTTACTTAGAGGCCCAAAATGCCATTCCTTCTTTACGCTGGGCACTAATTTTGAATCTGTAAAAAAAAGCCAGTAATTATTTTAGACCACACTCTTAGAATCATTCACAGAAAACCCCTAGAAAGAAGATATCATTCTGATTTCCCTCCCCCGGGCCCCTCACTGGGCCACCCAGCCTGCAGGATCTCAGCTCCTGAGCAAGGATCTAACCTGCACCCCTGCAGTGACAGCACAGAATCTTCACCACTGGACCACCAGGGAAGTCCCTGGCTTGCTTTGCTAAAAAGAACCTTTGTCTCTGGCAGTCCTGGCGGGAGAGGACTGGAGGTGAGAGCACTCATACACTGATGTTCAGTTTGCTTGAGTCGCTCAGTCGTGTCTAATCTTTGTGACCGCAGCACGCCACGCCTCCCTGTCCATCACCAACTCCTGGAGTTTACTCAAACTCATGCCCAATGAGTCGGTGATGCCATCCAGCCCTCTCATCCTCTGTCGTCCCCTTCTCCTTTTGCCTTCAGTCTTTCCCAGCTTCAGGGTCTTTTCCAGTGAGTGAGTTCTTCGCATCTGGTGGCCAAAATATTGGAGCTTCAGCTTCAAGCATCAGTCCTTCCAACGAATATTCAGGACTGATTTCCTTTAGGATGGACTGGTTGGATCTCCTTGCAGTCCAAGGGACTCTCAAGAGTTTTCTCCAACGCCACAGCTCAAAAGCATCAATTCTTAAGCGCTCAGTTTTCTTTATAGTCCAACTTTCATATCCATACACGACTACTGGAAAAACTATAGCTTTGACTAGATGGACCTTTGTTGACAAAGTAATGTCTCTGCTTTTTAATATGCTGTCTAGGTTAGTCATAGCTTTTCTTCCAAGGAGCACGTGTCTTTTAATTTCATGGCTGCAGTCACCATCTGCAGTTATTTTGCAGCCCCCCAAAATAAAGTCTCTCACTGTTTCTATTGTTTCCCCCTCCTATTTGCCATGAAGTGATAGGACCAGATGCCATGATCTTAGTTTTCTGAATGCTGAGTTTTAATATTGAATTTAATACTGAGGTTAGGAGTACACATTGCTCTAATGTCTGAGAAGCTGAAAAGAAAGCACATGCTCTGAGACTCACCAGATCCACTTGTGTAGACTCATGTGAAAGAATAAGGTTGTATATGACAATATGACCAAAAGAACTTAATCCATCACTGTGCAGGAGAAATTGGAACAATCTTAATGCCCAATAAGTTAACAAATAACTATGGTTTGGTGATACCAGACATACAGGTACATATTAAAGTACCTACATGGGAATTTACATTATGGAAATCTAGCCAAGTGCTAAGAGTGCTAATGCACCTTGCACAATATGCATGTTTCAGACTTTTTGGAAAGAAAAATAGTTTGCCCTCATCATCAAAACTCCAAGAAAGACAAAAAGAGCCCAGTGTCCAAATACTCAGTTTTTGTTCATAAAACATTCGCTGCAATTTTTCAAAAAACAAAGTATCTGGTAGGTTCTTTTTCGTGCATGAGCATGTTTTAATTCATTAATCAGGAAACTAACAGGGTAGTAATGTTAGTTCACCACTTGGTCTTTTTACAATGTCTTTTCCTTTACCTGTTTGTTTATTTTGGCTGCATTTTCTGTTCACGTATTTCTCTCTTGCTGCGAGAGAGCATATGAAGGCTTTTCCCGTGTATCTTGCTTTCTAATTGTACAGTTTATGTACACTAAAACTCACTTGGTGACAAATGTGGTTGTGAGCACCACCACAATCTATAGTCTGGCACTCTCAAAATTTCCTCATGCTGCCTCCGTTTCCAACCCTTCCTCCAATTCCTGGCAACCACTGATTTTTCTCCTCCATTTCCATAGTTCTGTTTTTTTCCCCGAACTTTCGTAAGTGGGATCATACAGTATATAGCCTTTTGAGTCTTCTTTTTCTTAGCACAATATGTGTGGTCTTTATCAACAGCTCCCTCCGTTTTAGTGCTGAGTAATCTTTGTTATATAGATAAGCCAGTTTATGCATTTGCTAGTTGACTTCGTCCCCCTTTCCCAGTTATAAATAAAGATGTTATGAACACTTGAGTGCAATGTGGGTTTTTTGGTACTATATTTATTTGAATATTTATAAGACATAACCAAAACAAACTCTCCAGCACACTGATGTTTTCCTGACGAAAGCTATGACTGTATCAGGACTCTGTCAGTATTCCTGAAAACGCAGGGATTACAGCCTTCATTGTTAGGACACACAGTAGCGTCGGCTGGGAGGGAGGGACTAGCGTCACCCCCAGGGAAGATGAGCTAGAAGGAATGTCTCTCCAACGTCATGGAGGAGCAGAACCCCACTCCAGGGCTGGGCTCCTTACCCCCAGACTGCTTTTTCTGGAGAGAGAATTTAGCTTCCCTTGTTTAAGCTAGTGCTGTTACACGGAGTTTCCCATCACACCCTATGTAACCCCAGTACAGACCGGTACATTCAGTTCACGGTAAGTGACAGACTTACATCTCTGTGACGTGCTCTCCTTAAAGCAGCCGGAGAGCCGCAGCTGGCAGGACAGTACCTTAATAGATGCTCCTGCGAAGCGAGAAAGCTGTTTGATGTGCTGCCCTTGCTTGCCGATGATGGCGCCTACAGACAGCGCTGGGATGAAGAGATGGACGGTCTCCGTTTCAGACTGCTGCTGGAAAAGACAGGACATCCATGCTTAGTGGATATAGATCAGGCTGTGGTGTGGGCACAGGGATGGGGGCATTCTTCTACTGTTAGGAATATTAGGATAGTTTTAGGAAAAATCACCACAGCAAGTTGACATGACTACCTAACAGGTTGGAAAGTTCTCATATTCATCCTGAAAGTATTAGCATTTAAAACAATACCACTTTTCTGTGTAAAATTTCTTTAAAGCTTAGAATGCTGAGTTACAGATTTACAACAAATTGTGTGGCATTTAACGTTGGTCCACCAAATGACACAACCACTTAGCACACAAAGGTTGCGAGTGTCAATAACCACTTCCTTTTCTCCCTGTAAGCCCTGTGTGGGGACAGAGAGCGTGCTAAGTCTTCAGTTTCTTTCTCTGAATCACCTGAAAATGTATGTCAGTTATACCTCAATTAAAAAATTGACCACCCCCAAAAAAGTTTAATTGAATCACAAAGGAAAGATGCTCTACTAGACCAAGGAAAAGAAATCAACAGGTTTGTTGTCTCATCTGCATACATCCATCTAAAGCATTTGTAAAACACTTTTAACTGAAACTTTTAAGGATTATGAGAATAAAACACATTACAGAAAAGTTGCCCCCCAAAAAACCCGATTACTATATGTTTCCCTGACAGTTGTATCTGAGGACTTTTTTGGGAACACTTCAAGAAAGTATGGTTTCCAGTTTCTCACTAATTTGTCTAACACTACAGTCGGGTCTTTTAACATAAATCTTGTGCCCATGCACAATACTTATAAGATTTTATGTAATAAAAATGCTGGGTTGCAGCATGAACATTTAAAATTTATATTTCTAAACTCTCATGCTAATTATCTTACAGTCAATAAATGTGTACAAGACAGAGGGAAGTCATTTTGGTTTAAAACATGCCTTTCCCACATAACAAAAAATTAAAGCAGTGTGTGATTCTAGACCTCATGTCTTGTTTCCTACACAGAAAAATCGAACTCGGCTCTTCTAAGCCCCTTCCTTTTTCTGTTAACCACCCCTGCCCCACGTGCCCCTTAGTTCGTATCCAAGTTAACCTAACATTCAACTCTAGAAAGTATTCTTGACAAAAGCCGCTGTACTTTTCTCTGATCATGACATTCTCTTTCTTCAGCATCAGCATAAATAGATGTGTACACACTATATTCTTTACAACCGGGTATCCCTGTGTTTCCCGGGACGCTCTAACACGCTGCAGGTCTTCATACAATGTCAGCCTAATGAAGTCTCCCTGGGGGCTCTGTAAGCATTCTTAGAACACACAGACCAGAAGAGGTTTTGCCTTCCCACTAAACTCCTGCCTGTAGAGATTTGTGGAAGAGGCCTGTTCTGCACAGCCTGGCCAAATCAACTTTTACTGCTATTCATCAGTAAAGAACAAAAATAAAATTAGTTCACCCTTCAGTATTTCTGAGACATAGGAAAAACGCCCCTCTCTGGAAAGCACCATACATCACAGCCTGCCAGGGCGTTATGCAATTACCATATACTATTTATTCCAGGGGCTTCCCAGACGGCACAGTGGTAAAATAAAAAAAACCCACCTGTCGGTGCAAGAGACACAAAAGACACGGGTTCAATCCCTGAGTCAGGAAGATCCCTTGGAGAAGGAAATGGCAACCCACTTCAGAATTCTTGCCTGGAAAATCCCATGGACAGAGGAGTCTGGCGGGCTATGGTTCATGGCGTCACAGAGAGTCAGACACACCTGAACACAGCACACAACCCATTTATTCCAGAGGTACAATTTAAGGCCTCTCTTAGTAACTGGACAGAACTGAATTAATGGTGACATTGCCTATCAACTGTGCTCAATGTTAATACCAATTTATTTTGTCATTCCAGTCCTTAAATTAAAATTTGTATATTAACCAATTTTCTGAAGTAAAGTGAAAGTTGCTCAGTCGTGTCTGACTTTTTGAGACCCCAGTGGATGTCCATGGAATTCTCTAGGCCAAAACACTGGAGTAGGTAGCCTTTCCCTTCTCCAGGGGATCTTCCCAATCCAGGGATCAAACCCAAGCCTCCCACATTGCAGGTAGGTTCTTTGCCAGCTGAGCCACAAGGGAAGCCCTTCTAAAGTAAAGACAGGATCTATTTTGTCTTGCTAAGAACATCCATGTAATGTTCTTCTGAGTACACTTTTTTTTAAAGGGGGTGGTGAGGAGTCAGGGGTCTGGCAGTAATAAAGACCTTTCTTGTTTTGTTTTTTTTTAAAGACTTTTCTAAGGATCAGACTAAATCTATCATGTACCTTGCCAAAATCTGCCCCATTGTATTTTGCCATGACTATGTAATTATTTGCTTTCTGGGCCATGTTCCAGGAATACTTTATGCTGCTTACAAAATACAGAAGATTTAGAAAGACAAAGGAAGTGAAGAAATAAGAGCAGAGGGACCTCAACAGAAAAGATAAAATCAGAAATGCTATTATACAAATTTGGCTCTATGCTTCTTAGCAATTAATTAAAGCTAAGAAAATGATTTACCATATCTTTAAGAGAAAAGCTATTTGTTTAGTAAAAACTAGTTTTCCTGGGACTGACCCCAGAGATCAACTTCTGAATGTTCTTAGCGGCCTAAAGTACCAGGATCATCAGACCAGAAGTCCCAGAGCCTCACAGTACAGCCTGAGCATCTCAGCCTAGAAGAAACACGCTGACCACCACAGCTATGAGAAAAACCCATGGGCATAAATAACCACTGTCATCTCAAAAGCTGAACAAAGCAATCATCTTTCCATACAGTGATGGATGAGAGGCTACAGGTGCTTTTGTTTCACTGACTTTGAGGAGGTGGGAGTGAGGTAGGAGATAATGAATGAACACATAGATTAAGCTGAGTGAAGCTCTGGGAAAGCAATGCTGGTGAAGAGACCAGGACTGAAAGGACCAAGCAGAAAAGGGCAAAGTCATGAAGAAAGCATCACTCTGCAGACAAAAAATGCTCCACGCTGGGATGAAAGCAGAAGCAACAAATCTACAAGGCGGGTTAGCAGTGAAGGACGCATGCCAGGAGGCGGTGCCCCAGACTCAGGGACTGTGGTGTGTGCTCCTGACGACAGCACCTTAATGAGAAGGTGACTCATCAGGTGTCTGCAGCCTGATGGAAACCTTTCTGAATGCCACCCAGATCCCTCTGCCCAGTTTCATATCCAACAAGCACATCCCTGACCATAAATTACTTCTCAAGCAAAAGAAGTATAAGGCACCTCACATAAACCTCCTGTCTACCGGACAGTCATTAAACCGGCCCACTCTTATATGGGACTCTGTATGGTAAGCCATGCTTTCAGGGTTAGGACACCCAAATAAGCAAATAGTTTTTACTTATAAAGTTCAGAAGCCATAACAATGGGTCATGACAAGTCTCTTTCACTTGTGAATTTAAGACTCCGAGGTGGTTTTGAGAAGATCCATCAGCTTTACCTTTTCATGTTACACATTCTTCGCATGGAAGTTAATGTTCACCTGCGTTACCCTGAACCCTTCTCCCTGAACCCTCAGAGGTGGATGATACTCAGGCCGCAGGCCGCTTCCCAGTGGATTTCTGCCAGATGCCTACTGGCAGCACTTCCTCTGGAGTTCTTGGCAGCCTCTGGGCTATAGCTTGAAATAACAGAAGAACAAAGCTGCTCAACTGAAAGTTTGCTTAACTGGTGAAGTCTGCCAATGAGTAATTCCTAATCATCTATCATGAGGAGATAGAAGAATGAGCAAACAGCAAGGTTAAGTGTATTTACTTTGTGGGGAACAGAACCTAAAACACCACACAGGCACGGACACAGCATGCCAGCCAACAAGCCCAGCCTCCAGGAACCTGGCGGGATGCCAGCAGCACCCTGTGGCTTGAAAAAGACATACTCCTGGGGGTTTTTTTTTTTTTTTTTTTTTTTTATTGGTTTTTGGCTGGAACTGGGATCGAGTTTACTCAACTTCATGACCTGAACTCAAGTCTTTTTTAAAAAGGCAAAGAAAGTTTCTCCATATACTAAGTACAAGGCCTCTTAGAGATAGTATTATGCAATGAGTTATTTACTTTGAAATTGTTTACTAGCAAATGAGTCACACCCGCTATAAGACATCCTCAAGAGGAGGACTAAGACTCCATGAAAGTCATTTGGTCTAATAGTCCCTTTCAAATTACAGTTTTGCTTCTTAAAGACCACTTCAAAGTAGATGAGACCCAAGAAAGTGTTCACCTTTCTTGTCTCTTCCATAAGCAGAAAGTTAGCAATTTTAAGATTACACTGTTGTTCTAGAGGCTTGGGAAGACTCCAAAGGCACTATCAAAATGATGGAGACAACAGCTCTTGAGCTAAGTTCTGCCAACCCCAACGCAAACTGCCAAACCATCCAGCTATGGGTGGTGGTGTGTGTGATGCCAATTCCAGCTCCTCCTCTGCTCACTAGCTGCCAATTGCCTCTTCCCTACTGTTTCAGCATTTCTGAAAGGAGCATTTCCTGTCATTTATAAACTCGAAGTCTGCCAATTAAGTACTGCATGAGCCAGCTGCTAGGCAGGAACTAGAGACTTTTTGTCTGCTGGAAGAACCGACTCTCTGGCTCTACTGCAAACATCAGCCTGGCAGGCTGCAGGAAGAAGAGTGTGTTTTAGGGGGAGAGACGGGCAAAATTCTGGAACAGAACAGAGACGAGGAATTTATCCAAAGACGAGATGCATCAAGTTCTACTTCACATTACAAAGCAAAAGTGAGAAAACATGAGCAGAAAAATGAAACAATTCTCAAAGAGGAAGCAGTGCATAAAAACAGAGTCAGTCTTTGAACCATTTAGTCATCAATACCTACTCCTTGACAGGCAATGTATAAAGTAAAAACAGAGATTTGCTACTAACCTACAGGCATCAAGGATAAAGAGACTATCTTTGTTAGTAACCTGACTTCTCGGTGAGAACATCTACGAAACAGTAATGGAGGAGTGTTGTCAGTGCCGAGAGCAAACACCTCCCGACCTTTAATTCCCTAACCCAGTTTTTAAATACAGGCACACCCCAGAGACACTGCAGGTTCAGTGTCAGACCACTGCATTAGATGGAGTATCAGAATAAATCAATAAAAAATTGCGCAAATTTTTTTGTTTCCCAGTGCATGTAAGTTATGTTTCTACTACACTGTTGCCTGTTAAATGTACAACAGCATTATGTCAAACTGTACATACCTGATTAAAAATAATGCTTTTGGAAACATGTTACCAACAGATTTGCTCAATGCAGGTTGCTGCACACCTTCAATTTGTAAGAAACAGTTTCAAATTCTGTAAAAATTCAAACTGTTGGGAAGAATAGTTCTTAGAGATAACTCGTCTAGCTCAGTTTTTTCACCATGTGGATGAGAAACCTAGAGCAAGGAGGAGACTGGCCTACAGCGTCAGAGAGACGGTGGGGCCCGGGGTCTCCCTCCAGGGCTCGCTTCCTTCCCACCCATCCCCTATAGCGCCAAGCTGTCAACACACAAGTCGCTCCACATCGCTCTCAGCTGTGGTACAAAGCTGTGGGTGTGCGTGCTAAGTTGTTTCTGTCGTGTCCGACCCTGCGCAGCACCACGCCAGGCTCCTCTGTCCATGGGATTTCCCAGGCAAGAACACTGGGGTGGGCTGCCATGCCCTCCTCCATGGGACCTTCCGGACCCAGGGATTGAACCTGTGTTTTTTAAGTCTTCTGCTTTGGCAGGTGGGTTCTTTACCACTAGTTCAACCTGGGAAGCCCCACAAAGCTTTAGAATCAAGTCTATTCACACCTATGAAATTCCAATACCTATCTTTAGATTAAGGAGCTTTGTTACATGGTTTCTAGGCCCCAAAGAGGTTTGAAGTGGCAGGTGAGCTGCAGGGGAAGATGCAAATGTCGCCAACAGCAGTGGCAGAAACACACACGCTACAAGACCAGAGCAAAAGCTACACCCAGCAGCCGGGTGGCTTCAAGGACAGGCAAAGGCAATCCGCATTCTTACAGGGATAAGATATGACCAATCTCATAACCCGTGTTCTTCGCAGAACTCCTGTGGCTTTTTATTCTACAAGTGCTCTAAGCACTGACAGAGCAGAACCCCCTTTTCCCTGAACACTTCCCTCAGTTTGGTGTAGCAGGTACCGCTCACAACTTTATGTCATAAGAGAGTCAAATAGGAAGAAAGAGATAGAAAAACTAATTCAAGAAGGAAGATCCTAGAACGTTAATTTTATTTCACATGATTGTCTTCAATTATCATTGATAATGCAACTGAACTGAGAACTTCTTTCAAAAAAAATTCTTGTATACAGTGTCTGCTAGGCTGCATTTATTTTCATACTATCACTGGCCTATTTCTAACCTCAGGGAAAATGCTACTCTTAAAAAGCAAATATAAAAATTACAATTTCTTAACAACATGATTATTTCTTAATGACACACCTGTTTACAAAACAAATAAAATCTGTTTAATGTCTGCAGACACACACACACACACACAGCAGATTTGTGGGCAAGACTATCTGAGCTCACCACTTAATAAAGCACAACATTCAAAATGGAAAACGCGTCTGGTCTTTACTGACCTTTCAGGTGAAGTTCAGGATGAAGGAAGCCTATTCAAAATCCTCTCCTTTACATTTAAAGTAAGAAACCTCTTTCCCCCTCCCCAGAGTCTCAAATTTTTCTTTTGATATTTGAAAACACATGTTGACAACCCTGCCACCCAAGAACTTCAAAAGAAATAACTCATGTATGTCTACAAAAAGAAGAAGGTCCTAGTGACAAGAACTGGAACGCCTGTGCCAGATCCAAACTGACAAATGGTCACACAGGGGTCGGGTTTTACCTTAAGATTTTCCCCAATTAGCATTTAATGTCGCATCACTTGAGGGCAACGAAGTCTGACTGTGTCCCTTGACGTCACCCCCCTCAACCAGAAGGAAAGGCAGGGCACACCGTCTTACCTCAAACTGCGGGTAAGGAGGAGTCATGGCTGATGGGGGCCCTGGGGTGGGAGGTGGCATCCCAGACGTGGGTGGGAACAGACCCAAGGCGTTCAGATTTAATCCAGGAATTAGATGTGCTTGAAGCTGCAATGGTAAAAAAAGGTCCCTTTATTTTACAGTTACAAGATCAAGTACAAGTGAGCATTTATACGTGATAATATCCAGATTGTGACCTCTTGTCAAGTAAAGAAAAAAATCATTTTGTGAGTTAAATCTTGAAACAGAGCAGATGCTCCATGTGATTATACTTCGGGTTACAGGTTATGTCTGTACATAATTCTTGCTATTTTAAACTCCATGTGCTGTCCTCCTCCCTTTGATCTGAAGGCACACTGGGTTTCTCAAAGCAGGGGACACAGCCTTCCTTGCCTTTACGAGCAGCTCTCAGAGCTCAGACATACAGGTTATCTGTACTCTCCGGGCACGCAGTAAAGAGAGACTGAGTATCTTGCATGAATTGAAGAAGCAAGGAAACAAGATATGTTCATTGAAAAGCAGAACAGATAACAGATATTAAGAGATCTTTACTCCATGAAAAAAACTTGGTGGTCATGAATCTACAGACCTAAAACAAAATCAAGCTCTTTGGGAATCAGGTTCCATGCTCAAGTCCCTTCAAATAAACCGATCTTTGGAATGGATCCAGGAGCCAGAAATGGGATTTGGTTTTGGTTTCATTTGCCAAGGGTTGAGAAAATAAGGTGAAGACTACAGAGTTCAGACTTGAGCATCCTCAAGCATTTTTTTTCAAGGCCTGTGTGGGTTTGGATTTACTCCCAAGTGACCCTGAAACACTTGGATGAGCAGTGATCATGTGAAGGTAGGGAGGCAGTCATGGGGTAAAATGATGAGCATTTAAGGCACTTCTCACAACGGCAGTATCATTTTTACACTTTCCCTTCTTTCAAGTGTAATGTTTCAGATGGCAGGCCCAGCTGATGAACTTTTTTTCCCCCAATCATTTACTTGAAAATTCAAGATGGACTTTTGAAATGCTACATTTTCCATATCATTCCATCCGTTACGGCACGTCAGCAATGCACTTTAATTGCCTTACCTGCACTACACAGATTTGTTTTGTCACTGGAAATTCTTTTATCGCTAAGGTTTATGAGTAACCGGGTTTTTAATTTATCTTCATAACAGTAGTTTTTTATATATGCACTGTATCTATTATAATCCTAATAAGCATGCAATGTAGGCAATAGCCCTATTTTACAGATGAGGAAACTGTGCTCAGAGAGACCAAGTAAGTCGTCCATGAGAATAAAGCTACAGCTAATAAGTGGCTGAGCTAAGATTCAAACCAGTTCACACACTCCTAAAGCCCACATTCCTATAATACTATAATCTCCCTCAAATTCACACTGTATGGGAAAGATCAGCCTCTTTTAGGGCGGTATTAACCTTACCTCACAGGTAAGGAAGCTAAGGCACAAAGTTAGCTAAAATCACAAAAGAGGGCCGAGCCTGAAGTCCAAGTTTGTGTCTGCCCAACTATCCCAGGGCACTCACCGTGATGCTCAAAGTCAATTAGAAACCACATCTAACAATGACGCCATTAAAGAAATCAATGTTAAGGCAATTGAAAACATCTTTGAACTGTTCATCAAAACAAAGACATTTCCTTCATATCAAAACTAACATTCATGGAAGCAATATCGTTTTCATAAGACTCCCTGATTTTCTTCATTATCTCTTCCTCCGCTCTGGCGCAGGTTTCCACGTTGCCTTTCACCGTAATGGTGCGCTCTGGATTGTACAGTGTCAGCTCCTGCAATCTGCGGATTGAAACAGAGGCAAGAAAAAGACTGGAAATTATAGGAGGGAGACAGTTAATAATAGTTCAACCACAACTGGCAATTCAAACCCAACTGTGGAGGCTGGCAATGTGTAAAAGGAGGTGGTTAGACATCATGAAAAATGAGTAAGCCCCAAAAGTTGTGAATACAAGAATTGTAAACTGCAGGAGAATAGAAAATCCTGCCCCTCCCACCTTCTCAGCAAGTATCTCTGGGTGTACACAGTTCAATTAAGTCCATGTTTTAAACAAATTATACTTCTTGACCACTTAAGGTGAGCTTTTTTCACAACAGTGAAATGTAAAGAAAATGATCCAGAGGAACCTATAGTTTTAGTGGAGCCCAAGAACCAGATGAATATAACCTTTAATGAGTGCTTTTCTAGTCTGCCCTGACCAATTTGGGGTGTAATTTGGCCTTGTCAGGCAACTGCATTTTTTGGATCACCAAGCAAGGGATAAGCAAGAAAATATCCCAAAATGGCACCCAGAATTCATATGTCTAAGCTTATTTTTGTTGCTAATTTTAGAATTTAGATTGACGTGCGCTTGAGGAAATAACACAAATCCATCCATTTTGACTGAATTTTAAAAATAGTCCCTCGATGACCATTTAGACAACTAAAAAGCTAAGATGTAACAGCAATATTCAGAAAGCCCCTGCTTGTCTCAGCTCCTGTAGAAGCGTCAAAATCCATTCAGATGACACTGACACCATCTAAGTCTCAGCCATTCAACAGCCTTGAAGCGAAAGCCATGGGAGGTACTTAACCATGGAAACAAGGCTCAGGAAATGGATGGAAAGGACACAGAATACTGCGACAGGTTCCTTTCATATTCTTAGGGTTAAAACTCCCATTTTCACTACTAGCAAAGTGTCTCAAGCTAAACATGAGCCAGATGAATGGGATGTTATTCCTTAACTTCTTCCTATACTTGTTAAAATATAAACATCCACACAGTGAAGAGGCTTCGTCTCAGACCCCGTACACAAGTGTATGTCTCCTCTTCAGGCTCAACCGATTCTCCCCTGAAGAGCATTTTCTATTACAGTTTTTAAAATAGCTGCTTCCAGAACAGCCTTTATGATGTACTTTTTTCCCTCTTAAAACCTTCCCCTTTCTGAGCATAAAATTCGAGAGGGTAGGATCACTCGTTCTTTTCACTGTTTTGCAGTTTTTCCTTTCCCACCAAGCGGGACTCTCCCACTTCCTTTCCACTCCCACTTCTACAAAAACTCCTTGCTCCATGAAGATACTGCCCCAGTCTTTCTCTACTATTCTTCATGAGTTTGTCAGTCTCTTTCCCCCTCAACTTTTTAGCGTGCCCTGAAGGAAATAAAAGTCACCCTCAGAAGAGAAAGGCCTTTCCCTGTAATTTCAGAGCATCATGGACTGCAGGCATGGGGACTAGCCCCCATGATCCCCACTCCCCAGTGACCAACCCTCCCACACTGCCTGAAGCCGACTTGCGTCAACAACAGTAGAAAAAAATGGTAGAGAGAGCGACTTCTGAGACTATGTTACAAAAGACACAGCTGCTTCCGTCTTGTTGTCTCTTGGGTTGTTCACTGTGAGGGAAGAGAGCTGCTATGACTTGAAGACGCCCCCAACAGCCCTGTGGAGCTGAGCTGAGGTGAGGAGCCGAGGCCACATTCTAAGAGTTGCCAGGAGACCCCCCCAAACCAGGACTACCCGGTCATGCTGTGCCCCTGGATTCCTGCTCCACAGAAACCAGGTGAGCAATAAACGTTTCCCCTTGTCTTTAGTGGCCAATGTTGGGATAAGCTGTTACACAGCGATGGATAATACGCAGGGTTATACACTCCAGCTTTCAGAGCAGATGCCAGAAAACCCCAGCAAGACTTCAGTGAGGAAACACACACGGCAAGTACTAGTGTGTCCTGCCTCTGTAGTGGGAACAGAGAATGCTTTCACTGTGGGCTGCAAACAGACAGCAGGCAGGAGAGAAATGGGTTTGAGAGGTGAGGTATAAGCAGGGTGGTACAGGCCAGCTCCAAGAGTTGTGATCCACTTAATAGATAACCTACAGCTTGGAAACGGTATCTTTGAAAGTTTTCTAATTCTAAAGAAAGCAAGGCAGCACTTACGGAGATATTGTGATTTTAGTGTCAGTGTCCTGCTCAATTTTTTTAAGATTCCGTCCTTCCTTACCAATGAGACGTCCTACAAAATTATTATGGGCTAAAATCTTCAAAGGAATCTCTTCTGTGCTGTAAAGGAAAATAAAATAAAAGGCCACCAATCAGAGTAAGTATACCTATTCTAGGGTAAAAGGACAATATTCATTCATTAAACATTGACTTCCTGCCTTCCGTAGGGGAAGCATTCTGCCAAGTACACTGTAAAGCTTGCTGACCATCAGCCCACATTCTAGCAACGCATGAAGAGAGGGGGATGAAAAAACACTGACAAGTATTTGGATAGGAGTTAATTTTTAAAAGTTTTCTTTTATTCATCTCAGGGAATGCCTTCCAATAATGGATTCTAGTTAGCTCTTTGAAAACACCTTACTCAAACCCACATGCTGAAACCCCCAATACCAGAACACCACCTACAACATGAAACAGCACGGTTTTAGAATAATGTTTAAATACACCCCTGGAGATAAAATGCACGATTTACAGAGGGAAACAAGAAACTCAACAGGGTTACACTTTGGAGGGAAGCGTATAAGAGAGGGGATTTTCACTTTTCATTTTGTACCTTTCTGACTTTCCAAGTCATGTACATAGCACTGTGTTAACATGTCATTGGGGTCATCTAAGTGGTGGGCTTTTTCTTCACTTTTCTCTATACTAAAAAGTAATTTTAATCTTATAATAAAGCAACATATAATACCTTCTAATTAAAATATATGTAATGTACTTCAAAGGTCCCTCCAAATTAAATGCCGGTCATTAGGTCCCCAGACTAGGACCCGCGTCTTACTCTGGAGCCCCCTTTCAGCACTCCACCATGCTAGGTGCTACAGGCAGCAGACAGCCCAGCCTCTGCTCACGGCTCCCATGCACAAGAGATTTAGAGTTTCAACCTGAAGCACCCGAATCAACAGCCAGCTTCCCACGGCACAAGACTGGGGCCTTCCCAGCTCCGTTCTCCTGCTCCTGCAGCGGGGGCTGGCAGACAGGCCGAGCTCCTTCGAGCTCCAAGCACAGGAGTGAGGGTTTGGGGTCCCTGCTTTGGGTAAATCCCAGGGATGCTTCTTGGACCTTAGGTGAGCTTCCTGTGAGCCCAACTGCCTTCTTTATACAGCTGGACTTTTCCCATTAACACCACTCGCAACACAGCCAAACATGAATGAAAATGAAGCGTTTAAAAGATTTATGCTCTATAACCACAAAAACAACACTGCTGACCCTCTGTCGCTCTTCGGGACAGCATTTCCCTTTGTCTGCTGGCAATTTCCAAAAATTATGTCAAAGAATCCCAAAAACTGGACCGCATAAATATCAACCTCCCCACCGGGTAATCCTCTTTACTCACAATTTTATATCTTGAGCTTCTTTATGCATAATCTCCAGAATAGACTTACAAGCTGCAGAGGTGCCCTCAGGGGTAGAGAGGATAGTAATGGACTTCTCGGCGGCACCTGCGTTCTCCTTCCGATGGACATCAATTCTTAGGGTGGGCACAAGGGGAGAGGGAAACGAGCTGTAAGCATGTGTTCACAACAGTCTGTCATCACCACCTATACAGTCACCGCACTTCTGGGCAGAGTGGGTGACGCACTTTCCTCAAAACCAAGTCTTGATAAGCCGTCACCATGGATGAGACCAATGTTAAGTCCAAGAATATTCCCCTCTCTCTGCTCATGCGGGGGCATCTCTTTATTCTGGCCAAGCTGCACCTGCTTAATTTTCCTTTTCAGTGCTACAGGTCAGTCATCTCACATGCAGGAGCCTGGGTTCAAACAAAAGGCTTTCTTCCACTCAAAGAACAAGGGAGCCTGGAACACAAGCCAAGAAGACTGGAGCTGGAATCCCACAAGTCGGGGGCTCCTGACTCCACTCACGCAGTGTGACCACCATCCGTCACAGGTGGGATTTCACTCTTCGGTTTCCTCTTGCCGGGGTCTTTCTACACTTTGCCTTCCTGATCAAGGAAAAGTCCACAATAAACAGTGATAGGAGTGGACCCCAAAGAAATGGCAGCAGTTCTATATCAAAAAAAAGGAAATGGCCACTAAACATGCAGTGATGTTCAATCTCACTGGTCCTTAAAACAAGGTGGTGTTCTCTTCCAGACCTGCACAGATGCGATTCAGTACTGGCAAGAGGATGGGTGTCTGGGATACGCACACCTCTGGCGTGGTGCGGAGTACAGAACAATCTGCTGAACTGCTTATTATCTTTTGACCCAAGAATTCTACTTCTTGTAACATCTCCTATAGATGAAGTCTCACACGTGGGCTAAGAGTGGTGTTTCTCACCCTCTGGCAGCATTGGCACTTTGGGTCAGACTAGTTCTTTGGTGTGGAAGCCAATCTGTGCATCGCAGGATGGTGAACAACATCTCTGGCCTCTACCCAGTAGACACCAGTAGCACCCCCGCCCCCATCTAAGCATGACAACCGAAACTGTCTCCAAATACTGACAAATGTCTTCTGGGGGAAAACATCACCATGGGTTGAAACCACTGGTGCAAGCATGTTCACCGCTGCACTATTTGTAATAGAAAATTGGTATTTCCAAGATATTTCCAATAAGGAAGAAACGGTTAAAGAACATATCTATATCACACAGTTGTTCATAAATGTGGTAAAATTACAGGTGCCAACAAAGCAAAAGGTCCTCGATCTTATGTGAAAAAAAACCCCCTTCCTTCCCTTGTTTTAATTTTTCTTTTAAGGTTCCTTTTTTTGTTGGTTTTGGGGACTAGTTTTTTGAAGACATATTCCCAACTCAACAGTGGTCACCTTGGGGGTTAGATGGAGGTTAACTCTTTTATTTTAATGTACATACTTGTACATTTTGAATTAAATACAAAAACAAGTCTTCTGTTTAAAAAGTACAAGAAAGAAAATCAACTATTCAAAAAAGTATATTCGGGGAAAATTATTTTAAGTTCCTTTGGCCACTCAAACTCTAGATGGAAAGGGTATATAACTCGTTGTCATGAGAATGCCCACTACATCTTGCTAATAAAATCAGAGTTTGGATTTCATTTTCCTAAATGCCTAATTGAAAACTGAAGAGTTATCTCAGAATTAAAACCTATAGCTAAAAATAAGGGCAATGTAGAAGTGAAACAAATAAGGAATATCTAGAAATAACCAATAAAAAGAGTATCTTGTAACAGATCTGATCTCAGGAACCATCTTTCTAGTCACTGGTTTCAGTCTCCAATCACTGTAAGTACTGCATCTCTTCTAGTAGGTCATGTGCTCATCTCCCCCCTGGTTTATTTCCACCTGCTCACTGTGCTAAGGATTACCAAACTCTGATCCTCTGAGAGTAAGGGATGTTGCTTTACAGATTAGGGCAGCCCTGTGAGGCTATTACAGAAGCAGAAGATCTGATAATGACGAGTTTCAATGGCAAGAGTTAATTAAATCTGTTGGCAGAGCTGCAAGTGAATCATGGAATACAACTATCGCTTCCCTTCCCTCTCCATCCTCCATCTTCCTGCTTAAATAAAACAAACAGTTTCATTAAATCACAGAAGCTCTTTCCTCTGACAGGGAAATGAGCAGCTTTAATTTAAAAGGAGCAACTTTCATCTGCCATGTAATGAGGAAGGGAAACGGCTGAATAATTAGTTTCTGCAGGTAACAGGGAATCAATGCAAGAAAGATGCTCTTGAAATAGAGAATTAAAGAGAAGCTCTTGTATTAAAATGAGGCAAATCTGAGATGAAAACTGATTGGGCCATGGTTGTCTTCCCTACCCTCTAACATTACGAAGTCAAGGCCACCGACTTTGCACAAAGGTAACCAGCACTCAGCATCTCTCCCACTCCCAAGTGTGGGGAGGCAGGGCCAGGCGCCACTCTTCAGGGGGGGCGGTGCATGACCACCACTAGACACAGTTCGTTTTGCTTCTACATCAGAAAAGGGCCAGCCACCTGAAGGCTGGCGTGGTGCCTGTGATGAACGTGGATAACCTCTTAAGCCTGTTGGAACAAACACAGCACCATAGTTGTACTTTCCGAAAAAGACTGCTTAACTCCTTGGACCACACAAAATAATTTTTCTCACTAAATTTAAAAAGCAAAATGATCCACAATCATCTCTGTAGCTGACCCAAGGCCGTCTCCCTACCCTTTTGTGTAGAATGACTTGAGCGGTGTGTACACACTGCCTCTTCTCCCTTACATCTTCAGGAAATATGGTGGCAACTGTCCCAGAGACGTGCCTGATAGCAATTTACAGAACTAAGGGCAAGGACAGAGTTTATCGTCAAGTTTTTTTGGGTCATATTCTTCACATACAGCGTTAACAGGATGGTTACTAAAGCAAAACCACAAATATACAATCATTGGAGCTCCAAAACTGAGAGTGTCTTAGATATACTTTAACAGAATTAAACATAATTCACATGCAGTTATTTCACTCATTTGACAAAAATGAGAGCCATCAACAGACCAGTGTTGGGACTACAGTGGTAAATAAAAACGAACAGCTCCTGCTTTCTACTCCTAAAAAGCCTGAGTATTTGATGGATAATCTTCTAATTCCCAAAATCTGCAAATTAAAACTATCAAACATCCTAAAGAAAGAACCATTCTAACTACATGGCTTAAACACAGGCTAACTACAGATCATAAACTGAATTATTCTTCATTGAAGTAAAGCAAGACTAAAAAACTCTTCTGTGTTGGACCCAGAAAATTACTTCTAAAAGCAGAGAAGGCAGTATCAGTGGAGGTCGGAGAGGAGATGGGGGAGCAGAGGAGCACCTAGAACTTGCCCTTTTGTTGGTCAAGGCCTCCCCCATCAGGAGGACCATTTGTTTTCCATTCATGTGTGAAAATCTAAAGTTCTCTTTGAGATTAAGGTTTAGCCCCAGGTTTTTATAAAATGAACACTAAAGATATCAAATCACAAGGTTTTTCCAGATTCCCAAGTAGCATACAGGAAGGGATCACAACCATGTTCAGGAGGACATGAAGTAGCGAACAACAGACTCTCTTATGAGGATTCAAACACCCACCGCGCCCCAGGAAATACTCACTTAGACTGGGTCTGTTTGGTGATGTTCCGAATGGTGGCGCCTTCTTTTCCTATAATGGCTCCAACGAACTGGGTGGGAACCAGCAGGCGCAGAGGCAAGTCACACGGCTTTTGCTTGGATGTGAAAATCTAAAGTTCTCTTTGAGATTAAGGTTTAGCCCCAGGTTTTTATAAAATGAACACTAAAGATATCAAATCACAAGGTTTTTCCAGATTTCCAAGTAGCATACAGGAAGGGATCACAACCACGTTCAGGAGGACATGAAGTAGCGAACAACAGACTCTGTTATGGGGATTCAAACACCCACCGCGCCCCAGGAAATACTCACTTAGACTGGGTCTGTTTGGTGATATTCCGAATGGTGGCGCCTTCTTTTCCTATAATGGCTCCAACGAACTGGGTGGGAACCAGCAGGCGCAGAGGCAAGTCACACGGCTTTTGCTTGGACACTGACCCTGGAGACCCCTGCCTCGAGGAGCCCCTCTGGCCAAACCCACGCCGGCCACGAGGCTGCTGTGAGGGGCTCTGCTGGGCCGCCATCTCATCAGGGATGTAGGCCACTCTCAGCGTGAAGTTCTCCAGCTGGAACCCGTTCAGCTTGTCTAAAGCTCTGCAAGTGAACAAGGAGCAGGGGTGGGAAGGGGAACCAGGCTGGGTAACAGCAATACCACCTCTTCCACTCAGGATTCCCGGCTCTAAAGCTCCTGGATAAAGCCACTGAGCAAATCGCAAATCCAGAACACACCTAACACTCCCCGCCCACATTCCCTTTGAAGGACACATGGGGAAAACAGGTTTCCAAGGGAACATATTAGCCATTTACCAGTAAAGTAAAAAAAAAAATTTTTTTGTCAAACTCTAACTAGGGAATTCCCTGGCGGTACAGTGGTTAGGACTTGGTGCTCTCACTGCTAAAGTCTGGGTTCAATCCATGGGCAGGGAAGTAAGATCCCAGAAGATACACCGAATGGCCAGAAAAAAACCCAAACAAACAAAAACAACACTCTTGACTAAGCCATTCACCATGAAGTCAATAACAGTCTATGAGGGCCCCCACAGAACAAGAGGAGGGGGCTCCCCTTCTCCTGGCTAGTCTTTCCAAATCAGAACAGAAAAGATGTTACAATACACACCTCCCTTGCTTTAACGTCTTAAAAACAAATATTTAAAACACTTTCAGAAGCAAAGGACAAAAATCTCTGAGCCACTTACTGGAGGAAGTAGAATTTAATACTCATGTTACTTACCACTATAAAATCACTCAATACCTATAATGAGCCTGTTCTTGAGGGAAAAAAGCAATCCATGACCTTGTAGAATTTATGATCTGATTTGAGACAGGGAGACAGGGGTGGTGGTGAAAAGAAAACAACAAAAGCTGTCTTCTCCCTATCTATCCATCCATCCATCCACCCATTCATCTATTTCAAGAGGAGCTTTACTTTTTCTGTTTCTTTTTTTGTTTTGTTTTTTCATTTTAGAGCCTTGTTATGGAAAAGTACGGAAATTAAATGACACTTGTTGCTCCCTAGAAGAAAAGCTATGACCAACCTAGATAGCATATTAAAAAGCAGAGACATTACTTTGCCAGCAAAGGTGCATCTGGTCAAAACTATGGTTTTTCCAGTAGTCATGTATGGATGTGAGAGTTGGACTATAAAGAAAGCTGAGCACCAAAGAATTGATGCTTTTGAACTGTGGTGTTGGAGAAGACTCTTGAGAGTCCCTTGGACTGCAAGGAGATCCAACCAGTCAATCCTAAAGGAAATCAATGCTGAATATTCATTGGAAGGACTGATGGTGAAGCTGAAACTCCAATACTCTAGCCACCTGATGCGAAGAACTGACTCACTGGAAAAGACCCTGATGCTGGGAAAGATTGCGGGCAGGAGGATAAGGGGACGACAGAGGACGAGATGGCTGGATGGCATCACCGACTCGATGGACAGGAGTTTCAGCAGGCTCCAGGAGTTGGTGATGGACAGGGAAGCCTGGCGTGCTGCAGTCCACAGGGTCACAAAGAGTTGGACACAACTGAGCAAGTGAACTGAACTATGGAAAAGTACCCAATCTTAAGCAAACATCCCAATGAACTTTCACACAGTGAGCATGCACCTCCAAATTCAGAGCTAGGACACCCAGTGTCCCTGAAGCCCCACCAGGACCTCCTTCCAGTGACTGCCCCTGCCCTCGGCTCCTCATGCCATAGACGATTCTGCCTGTTTACATTTCTATGTAAATACCCATGTCTGGCATCTTTAACTTATCATTTATAAGATAAATGTGTAAGATTCCTAAGATAAATTGGTGTGTTCTAGCTTACCTACGTATTTTAAATGTGAAGAACTCAATAAAAGTTGACAGAAGATACTGCCATATAGATATCACCATAATAATACACACTCCCAGTGCACAACAAAATTTAAAAAAAAAAAAAAAAAAGGTCTCACGCTTTCTCCAGGGTTACTCAGAATCTTTGCTCAGATGGTATTCCAGTGGGCCCTGAGTTCGACCCAGGCAAGGAGAGAAGAACAGGCATAAAATGCTCTCTGTCTAGTTGCTCAGACTGATCATTTGTGGTTCACATACTGCTTTCTTTATCTGGAGATCTTTCCGTTTCAACTTTAAGAGATAGGCCCAGCACCAAAAGGGGTAACAAAACCATGAAACTGCATGGCAGATGCAGAAAACCAGACAAGACATACCATGTCCTCAGGACTCAGAATTCTGCCCTTTCTGCATGTCAGTGGCCTGTTCCATCACTGTCCTACAGTTCCATGCATACGAATTAACTCTTTAAAAGATCCCAGTCATACAGACTAACAAAGTATCAAGAAATTTCTGTCACCATTACCTCCAAGACCCTTCCCAGAGTAACTGCTAACTGCGATAACTTCTGCAAACGGACCAGTTCTTTCCATATGCTTACACAGGTGTGTAAGTGTTCAGTACCTTCTTAAAAAAGTAGTAACTGAGATCATGATATAGTCGAGTGATTTGTTGTTTTTCCAAATACAATGTATCTTGGGATATTTCCATGTGAGTTTTGTATCAGACGACATTCTTTTCCCATGTATGTGTGTGTGTGTAACTGAATCGCTTTGCTTTAGAGCAATTAATAAGACATTGTAAATCAACTATACTTCAATTCTTTTTAAAAAAGTAGCTAAAGATGGCATTCTTTTCATAAGCTTTATAGGTGATAGCAGACACACGAAAAACTTGTTTTACCAATACCCCTATGTAAGAACCTTCAGCTAACACATTTTCCCCAGCCCAATGGAAGAAAGGGCTCAACTCCACCTGGGACATAAAAGGCGACAGTTCACGGTGACATCCTTCCCCACTCTACAACTGAGCACTTCAGAAGACAGCAAGTGACTGTGCAATTAAGTCAGTAATGTTACTTTAGAAAAAGAAGTTGGGGGCGGGGGAGCCCTTCCCTGGTGGCTCAGAAAGTAAAGAATCAGCCTGCAATGCAGGAGATGTGGGTCCCATCCCTGGGTCGGGAAGATCCCCTGGAGAAGGAAATGGCAACCCACTCCAGCATTCTTGCCTGGGAAATGCCATGGACACAGGAGCTTGGCGGGCTACAGCCCATGTTACTAAAAAATTAATTAGCTTCTTTCCTGATTAAGAGACATATACAGACAGACAGACGTTGTTCTCCATGGAAATAAAGAGAGATAAACATAGGTCACCAGATGCTTCTGTGTATCCAAATACAGTCACGTGTGTCCGGAGAAACAACTCTCAACTTGGAATAAACTATAACTTCCCAACTTCACTGTATTGCTTTAAGAAGATTTCTTTGAGGGGAAAAGAAAAGATGCTCTTCATCGGGAGGCCAGGTGGGACAGTGCTCCAGGACCCAGTGCCGCCTGGGTCCGAAAGACTCCAAACTCAGGTTGTTCCCGCCAGAAAGCAGAGAGCATGCCCTGTGTACGCCGCACTGCTGGCTGCCAGCGCTCCTGACCCCTCACCACAGGGCACTCCACACCTGGACACAGCTGAAGGTGCAGGAGTGAGTAAACTGCCAGCATGACTGTCTCATGACTGAAGACTGTGTATTTATGAATTTATAGCCTCTCTATTAACCTCTCTACGCTACGTTAACTAGTGGGCTGCTGAGTTCCGGGGAAAACATTCCAGTATTTTCACCAACCTTACTGTACATGCAAGACGCATGATCGAAAACTGTCATCTAATTATTCAAAACATACGCATTCGGTTCAGCAGAACTCAGGGATGTTCATCCCACACGTGTCACTCAGAATGCTGTTGCCCATCACCACCTGATTGCTCTGCTGTGACTCTGAGTCAACCAGAGACGGTGAGTGGTATTTTTTGTTTTGCTTCCTTTTGGCTGCACTGGGTTCGAAGCTGTGCCTCTTGCATTGGAAGCGCAGAGTCCCAACCATTGGACCACCAGGAAATTCACACCCATGAGCAGTTTTGCTGGCTAGCAGCACTTAATCGCATTGCTAAGTTTATTGGGATAGACCACAGGGTAGGATTGAAAGGGCCTTGCAAGAAAGAATAAGTAGTTTATGTCGAGGATTCAAGAGTAAGAAGAACTGAGTCTCAGAGAAGTTAAATGTATCCAATGGTACACACATACAGAGCTGAGTAGTGAAAGAGAGACCAGAATTCTAAACCAACTTGAACAGTAAGTAGCCAGTGAGCCTCGGAAAGGTCGTTTTGTGATTTGGCATTAGCCTCCTCACCAGAAAAGCTATAAACGACCAGACTTATGGTCTTTCGACTCTATAACTTCCATGTCTAAAATCTTTTCCTTATTCCTAGATCTCACTGCTGGGTATCACGTAGGTCCTAACAAAATGTGGCTTAGCCATCATTGAAAAGTCACATCATTCCATTTTATCCTTGTATCAAGAGTAAGAAGTTGAAACATAAAATTCAATAATTACCAAAAGCCTGATAATACCACTGCAGGGAGGCATCTTAAGGAAACAATGAAAGACTTCATTACCAAACTAGTTCTAATGGCAAAAAACTGCAAACAACCTAGATGCCCACCAGAGGACTAGCTACATAGACTGTGGTAGGGATGACATACTAGAGAGAGATTACTAATAAAATAAATACAGCTAATGGAAAGACAACCTGCACAATTCTACAGAATGATCTTTGGCATTTTAAATGTTGTAATGATGCCCTATATGGGGAAAAATCTAAACACTGGATATATGTATATGCATAACTGATTCCCTGGTGGTTACCTAGCTTGTAGCTACCAGGTAGCTGCTGCTGCTGCTAAGTCGCTTCAGTCGTGTCCAACTCTGTGAGACCCCATAGACGGCAGCCTACCAGGCTCCCCCGTCCCTGGGATTCTCCAGGCAAGAACACTGGAGTGGGTTACCATTTCCTTCTCCAGTGCATGAAAGTGAAAAGTGAAAGTGAAGTTGCTCAGTCGTGTCTGACTCCTCGCGACCCCATGGACCGCAGCCCACCAGGCTCCTCCGTCCATGGGATTTTCCAGGCAAGAGTACTGGAGTGGGGGTGCCACTACCTTCTCCGAGCTAGTAGCTACGAGCTACTAACTCAGCGGGCAAACAATCTGCCTGCAATGCAGGAGACCCCGGTTCG